CTTCAATATCAGCTACATTATAGAGCTACTAAAATGTTATTTTAGCTACTAATTTTACACCTTAGTTACCATACCTTTGAATAAAAAATAATTAAAATGATGATTTAATTTTAAATTTTGATTTAATTAAACATCAATATGATGATTTAATTTTAAAAAAAAGTTACCAGAAAACAACTCATAAGCCCTAAACACCTGAGGTTAAAGAACCAAAGCTTGAAACAGATGGAAAAATTGTCAAATCTACATTACATACAATCTACATTAGTACATTTTGTTAGGTAAAACACTGGTCGAGATCCAATTGCTGTTGCTTCAAACAAAAAAGAACATTTATTAATATTTACAGGATAATTACTAGCATCACAAAACTATTTGATACTTTAATAGTATTCAAAGGTTAGTGTAATTAATTTGTAATTAATACAAATGTAATGTTCAAATACAGATGCAAATAACAGTTCAGTTTGAAATTTTCAAACTCAAAAATTTCTCAAAAGAAGAGTATACCTTTTAAGATGTTGTCACTGATCTAAGATATCTGAACTAGATAGAAAAAAAAATGGTTTTAAGTCATACAAGGGGACTATTAGAGAAGCTGCATCTAACTAAAATCTTCATAAATACTCTTTTACACCCATAACCATTTTACACCCATCTAACTAAAATCTTCATAAACTCTTTTATACCCATCGAGGCAGAGTTGTCAACAGTAAGGTTATAAATGATTTTTATACAGAACAGCAAATACTTTATGAGTCAAGGTTAGACAAATCAACAAACCTGTAAATATTTGTCTAAAATAAGATAGATAAACAATCGTCAGGTTTTATTACTTTTTATTATTTTTTATTTATTGACATATATTTATAATTATAACAGACATTCACTTGAAAATTCAAAACTGAATGCAATCTCTTACTTTTTTTTTTCATTTGTTTGCTTTTGCATAATTTACATTAAAATACATTTTAAGAACATTTGAAGAAACCGAAATAAAACATTCTGTTTACTGTCTTTACAAGTGTACCATAATAATTTTCTTTTTACAAAAATTACTTAAAAACGTGTGAACTTTATTAAAGCATACGTGACTGATGATATTATAAATATAAGAAAGTAATATACTAGAACCATTGTTGTTGAAATTCTTGTATAACTGATTTTGCTGATTGTATAATAGTAAAATTAATATATAATAATGCATAACTATATATTAAAAAAATCATCATAATATATAAAAACAATAATCTTATTTGATAACTTTATGTGTGCATTTAACAATACAAATAAAATGATGTCATGATTTATGTTATCATTGAACAATGATTTTATAGTTGAAGGATTTATTTTACCCTTGTCTTTTTGCTTTCCTTTGCTAGCATTTAATAAACATTTTTTTTCAAAATCATTAAATTTAGAACAATTGCATATCTTATTATTTCTAAATAAAAAGGTTGCTGTTGTGGAGTGAAATAGATTGATTGAGTAGTTTCAAACAAATATAGACCAACTCTGTTTTTTATGGAGTAATTCTGTTTTTTATGGAGTAATTCTGTTTTTTATGGAGTAATTCTGTTTTTTATGGAGTAATTCTGTTTTTTATGGAGTAATTCTGTTTTTTATGGAATACAAAATAAGTTTACTTATATAAATACAAATATTATACAAACATATAAATTATTGTACAAATAATATTATTTACTTTAATTTAGATGTCTTAAATTTACTAGTTACACGCTTGAAAATAATTTAATTGCAAAATGCGTCTTATATTTTATCAATAAAAATCCTATTGTATTTCCAACAGACTTGATTAAGCAAAGCAAAAGAAAATTTTGTTTGTATCCATAGAAACTGTTAGAAAAGTTACTTTGTATCCACAAAAAACTGTTATGTGGAAAAGTTATTTTGTATCCACAGAAAACAATTATGTAGAGTTAGGAGAAAAAATAAACTTATAATTATAATTTGCAAAAATATATGGGCTCTAAAAAAATTAAAAAATTGCTTTAAATAAAATGATAAAGAAGTTTTAAAAAAGTCAATAATTTTGTAACAAGGATAAAGTATTTAAAAAAATAAAACAACTTATTTACATTCATTTCCATTCATTCCAAAAATCGAAAATTAAATCAAAACATCTTAGTATTTTCATAAATTTACATAAAACAATTTAAACAAAATTAATTAAATGTGTACTATTTTATTATCAACTAATAAAATTAATTATAAAATCACATGATTTGAAATATGATCATATGACAAACATTTTTGTTCCAATTACAGGAATTATCTCGGTTGTTTTTGTTCCACTCACAGGAATTATCTCGGTTGTTTTTGTTCCAATCACAGGAATTATCTCGGTTGTTTTTGTTCCAATCACAGGAATTATCTCAGTTGTTTTTGTTCCAATCAAAGGAATTATCTCGATTGTTTTAAAACATTTAATAAAAAGAGAAAACTTAATCAATGTGACCTGGTTAATATAACTATTAAAAGTTTTTATTAACTGGGTAAATTCTTTTTATAACTTCTGAAAAATTGAGGCTATTAATTTGAATATTCGAGGTAAAATTGAATTAAATCTTTTTTATTTTTTTTTATTCTGATTCACTCCCAACAAGGCTGCAAGAAACCACTATTAACTTGGGAGTTACTAGAAAAAAAGATTAGAGTTATAAAGCAAGGAATCAGTTGACAGAAGAATTAAAAAGATGAAAGTTGTATGAGTCAGAAAAACATGAAATTGGAAGCGAGATCCAAAGGGATCTCGCAAAAGCAAGAAAAAAAATGGCAAGCACAATAAAGAGAAGCAACCTTAATGGATGCTAATTTAGCAATTGATTGTATATATAGTTTCCATGAAGACCTGGTTTCCATGAAGATTAGTAAAGGATAATCCAAGAAGACAAAAAGAATACTCAGTGAGAGGTTTGCCTTAATATAGGAATGTTGACAGTATTGCAATAGTTGTTTGCAGTAAATAATTGAGTTTTGTTAGAGTTAAATATTTAAAAGCCACTGTGAGCTTTTAAATTCTAACTTCAACAAAAAAAGTCCATTTTAACTCCAACAAAAGACCCCAATCTGTTATAAAAGTGAGATCAGATTCAAGATTGGCTGCCTGTGCTAAGCAATTAAGAAGAAAAGACTTTTGTCAAGACAGGAGTATAAAGTTGAGTCATCAGCAAAAAGAGCTACTTTAGATGTAAGAATGTTGGGAAGATCATTAATGTAAATAAGAAACAAAATAGGACCAAGAGTTTTGAGATTCAGAAGTTATTGGAAATAAAAAACAATGTTGGTCTTCAAGCATAACTTTAATAAAACAGTCAGAAACGATTTGATCTCAAAAACATTCCCAGATAGACCATATGAAACAAGCTTATGCAGAAGACCAGCATGCCAAACTTTAGTGAAAGCCTTAGATATGTCAAGAGCAATAGCCCTAGCCTCTCCACCTAAGTCTAATGCACAATAAAATCTTTTAGTCGCAGCAGTTAGCAAATCAGTTGTAGAGCTAGACAATCAAACACCATATTGATTGTCTGACAATAAGTTATTTGACTCAAGATGGGATGTGTGAAACTTTTGTTTATTAAAAAGAAAAAGTTGCTTATTAAAAACTCAAATACCTTGCTAATAAAAGAAAGAAGACTGATTGGACGATAATTGGAGGGGTCAGAATGTTCATCTGATTTTTTAAAAATTGGAACAACAGCCATTTTACAGCAGGCAAGAAAACAAGACTGAGTCAAGTACTTATTAAATAGTTTAGAGAGAATTGAAAAGGGTTCTGGAGAACAATTTTGTAAGACAGCAACATTGTTTAGACCACAAGCCGTAGAAGAGTTTAATTGAGATATGACTTTAGAAACAGAAGCTAGAGTGATTTGAATGTCTAACAATGGGTTAATCTGTTTAATTGAAATGGAAGGAAGAGAACAGCCATAAGATTCAAGAATTAAAAGACTTAAAACTGATATGCTTAACAATATTGAATCTATCAAAAGAGCAGTAAAAGAACTTTCAATCTATCAAGTAAAACACACAGTAAAATTGCCTCATAAATAATAGAGTTTTATTTAGTTTCTGATCAAATTCTTAATTATTTTGTTCTCCAAAAAATAAATAATCTCTAAAAATAATTAGACTATGAAACAATTCAAAAAAGTCATTAAAATGTAATTATTCCAAATATCCCCAAAATAAATATAACTAAAAATACATGTGGTAACAATTTTATTTTACTAGTATTTAAGTCATAAACAGTTAAAAAGTAAGTTTATTTAATTGTGTACCTGTCATAAACAGTTAATAGTCAAGCATCAGTAAGATGTCAATTGTTATGTTGCAGAAGTGGAATAAATGATTATTTTGGGGGGAAATTGTGCGTTATAGAAATTAAATATATTTTAAAACTTGTGTTTTTAATGCAGTCACTGTTTCGATATCTAAAAAACTTCTAAAAAAACTTCTAATACACTTTTAAAATTTAATAAAATTTTTAAAAGTAACTTTTTTAAATTTGAATAGATCAAATCACAATTCAAAATTCAAAATTCATTATAAAAAGCTTTTTAAGATTTAAACATGTTTACCCATCATCCTTACATCCTTACTTATTACCCATCATCCTTACATCCTTACTTATTACCCATCATCCTTACATCCTTACTTATTACCCATCATCCTTACATCCTTACTTATTACCCATCATCCTTACATCCTTACTTATTACCCATCATCCTTACATCCTTATTTATTACCAATTATTTTTACATACTTACTTATTACTCATCATCCTTACATATTTACTTCTTACCCATCATCCTTATATCCATACATATTAAACAGTCACACTACTATTTTCTCAACTTACATTGCAATTTTTAAAATTTGTTGATTTTCAATAATTTTAACAGTTAAATATTATATATATTTATTTGTTATCTTAATTACTAAAATATATTATTTGAAAAAATCATCATACTTACGTTCCACCAATAACAATTCTTCGAACACCAAAGTATTGATGATTTGAATCATTAACTAAAGTGTGTCCTGATAACTTTATACGCACATTTGTGGCTCTGACAAACTCTACCCAGAGTGGGGAACAGTTGAAATCTAAACATCCAGGAACACCAAATGGTCTTTGAAGTTTTTCTGGTCCTGGTAAAGTTGTTTCAAACATCATATTTTCCCATGATGGCTTAGGACTAATTTAAAGAAATAAAATTAAAATTAGAAGTAATTGTAAGTTATTTGATAAATAAATTTAACAACAATTTATTTTAAAAACTGAAAATAATTACTTATAAATGATAATCAAAAAATTATATAAAAAATTGTTTTTATGATCTAGGTATGATTAGTAATAATAAATAAAAATCATGAAGATGATATTTATCATAAACAAATATTTCAAATATATCAAAAATTGATATCATTATTATTAATATCAATATTAATATCAAAATACAATTTTAGTTATTTAAAGGTTTTCTAGCAGGAATTTTTTTTCTTGCAAGTATGTTCTAGTGATTATATATAAAAAAAAAATTCAGTACTTTAAAAATATTATTATGTAGAAGAAAGGTTACAAAACAAATAACTGATTATCAAAAAATGTGACCAAAGCAAACTAAAAACATCTGGATTTGTGGACCATGCACAACATTGCAAAGAAACAATTGGGTTAATTCAAAAATACTTTGTCACCCAAATAATAACACTAGAAAAATATGCGAAGTTATTAATATGGACAGATTGATATGTTGCTACCTAAAAATAAAATTCTAAATGGAGATAATGGCAACCTTGTGATGACTAACAATTAGAAACTTTTTTTAATAAAATACTGTAGATTTCCTAATTCCAAACAGTCTCCAATACCAAACAGCTTTAGTTTACTTATTGTTACATCTTTTATTTCTGTGGGATTTTTATAAGAAAAACTGATTAATAAATTAGAAGACAAGGGTATATGAAAAATCATTTTTTAAATATATGATACCATGAAATTTTTTAATTGCAAGTAAAACACTTTTTAAAACCCTGAAAATCCAACAATATAAAACCAACTTTAAAAAAAAAAAGGCAAATTAAATTGCATACTGTTTGTAACATACTAGTTAACAGTGGTTAACTGACAGAAACAGACAGTGACAGTAAAGGATTTTCTTTTAACTGATTACAAAAAAATAATGAAAGACAGGATCTAATAAATAGATAATGCACACTCTGTACCAACACAATGTTATACCCTTACATTAAAATATAAAAGAAATTCTAAATTTTAAAAATCTTTTTACTTAATTCTAAGCTAGAGATCTGCGCTAGTATAAATTATTTACTATTACTATGCTCTCAGAATTTGGAAAAATGAGGTCAACAATAAACTGCCAACCTTAAGCTTTTAGAGGTTAGCATCAGGTCTGCAAAAATATTTTAATGCAAAGTTTTTACTATAAAACATAGAAACAAGGTTGTTTTATTACAACTTAACACATTTGTTGTTGCAATAAAAATAAAAGTTTGTTTCCAGTACCAAAAGGTAATTTTTTTAGGGCGTATTCTTTTTTTTCTACAACTGTGGGTATAAACTTTATTTTAAAACTAATTATCAGAATTTCTAAAGCATGTTTTTAGCTATATTTATACATGTTTGAAACTGCTTAATTTCTGACCTATAAATATGTGGTACCGATTTTGTAAAAACTATGGTAGCAGTGTACCTTGGAGGTAGCTAATGTTGTGTACCTTGCTGGTACCACCAAGATACCACCTTGCATGATTTTGTGAATACTATTATGAGTAAGTTTGTTGTAAAAGTATTTCTTTAATGTAAATATGTTGTTATAGTTTAATATGATTTTTTTTTTGTTTATTAAGAACTTCTTTTGTATAATATGATGTGTGTTTTTTCTTTGTTAAATTGTAATTATTTATGTAATAAGCTTATTAATATAAATAGCTTAGTAATTAAAAATAACACTGGGCAAAAAAAAAGAATTTTTTTTTTGTATCTTTAGCAATTTTATTCAAATTATACTAATTTTGGGCTAAGAAAAAAGAAAATGACAACAAAATTTTTTTATTAGCCCTAGTTTCTGAAGTATACAATACTCCCCACAATGTTATGGGGGGGAGGGGTGATGGGGAAGAAATCGAGGCTTGAGTGGAGGAAATAAATCTTGAGGGACATGTTACATCCAAGTTGACAGTCTTTTTGTATTTGTAGCCCAACAAAAATACCCTCTATAACTTTTGCATCTTTGAAAATTTGTTTCTTAAATACTTAAAAGCCTGTCCTACTTTATTCATAACTTTGACAAAAATTTTCATCAAACCTAACTTAATATGTAATGGTGGAAGAAGAACATCTTTTGAATCCATGAGTGGGTCAGCAATAACATTTTTTTCATGTGTTGAAATTTCTTGCAGGCCAGTCTTCTTTTATATGTGAACTTTAGTCTCTACTCTCCCATATAAACAAAAGGCAGCAGTATTTTTTATACCCTAATTGCATTCCTAAATGTATAGCAATGACTTTTAGATAACCACAAATTTTCTATTTTTGTTCATTTTAAATAATTGAGTTGAGGAGAACTTTCATGTTTATATAAGTCTCTTTCATGTGAATTGCATGGCCAATAGGAAAGGAAGGAAGACGGTTTTCATTAAGCAGTAATACAGCATTCAAGCTTAGCTAAAATTAGTTTATGAATAATCTCCATTCAGTTGCATCATAGCTCAAATTAAAACAATACATTAATCTAAAGACATCAAAGCCAACAATAACATTATTTTTCTTCTCGAAAAATAATCAGATTTTGCTACCGTTTTCTGTAAAACCTTGACATCAAATTGGAAAGGATTCCATTGCTTTAGTCTTGACCCTAGAAGTTCTACCTTTTCCTTTGACAAGTCCAGATCTCGAACAAGATCACTTAATGCTGATTGACTCAATCTGTGTGGCACATCATCTGTTAACACAAAATCAGTATTATTTGATGTAGAAGACTTGTTTTCTTTTTTTTCTATTTCTATTTAATTTCTGCCTTCATTTTCTGCTTCTTACTCACAATTTTATGGTGTAGTAGGAACTGGTAAACTATTCGAATGTGGAATATGTCGAATGGCAGATCGAAGATTTGGATATTTAACTGTTCCTATTTTCTTCATTGACAAACCTGCCTTAATGGATGGGGTCAAGCAGAAATAGCAGTCATCTGAATGGTTTTTAGGCTCCCTCCATACTATAGAAACAGCAAAAGCCAAAGATCTTATTATATTTTTCAACCATTCTCGTAGTGTAACCGAACAAGAGCTACAGTATATATGTGGAGTCCATGACTTATTCTGGTCCTCTACCTTTATATTGAAGTAATACAGGTAAACAGTCTTCACAAGAGGTGTCATGGTTTTTTTCTGTGAGGAAAATGTTATTTCACTACAAATGCAGCGAAAATTGTCCACTAAATTTACATTAAAACTACATTGGCATGTTGATTTTTAAATATTACACTAGTAAATGAAAAAGAAATACTAAGAACAGATTAGACCATAAACTTTGGGAAACACACATAACTAATATCAAAAGTTTTAAACAAATAAAACATGGGTAATCAAAAATAAAAAAATATAATTTTTCTAAAAAATGAAAACTTATATACTTAAGAAAAAAATTTTGTTTTTATTTTTTAAACTAGAGCTAATATGTCATTTTTAATGTCATTTTTGAATTCAGCAAGTGGAAATACATAAGAAATAACTAATTTTGATTCCAATACAAAATCACTGTTGGGCAGTGTAATTAAATTTAAAGAATTTGCAATTATGTTTTAAAAACTATGATGCCCTTCCATTTTTTGAAAAATCAATTGTACAGATATTTGACAATTTTTAATATCTTTAACTTATTTTTAGAAAAACAAAAAAATAAATAATAAAATGCCAAGAAGTAAAAATGGATTTAAAAGAAAAACTATACAAAAAGAAGGCTGTAAAACTTATAGCAAACAATGAACTGTCTATATACAGAGCTTCTATGAACTTTGCCATTCCTGAAACAACCTTAAGAAGACACAGAAACAAATTCTTTGAATCAGGTTTAGAAAAATTTTGTTACAAGAAAAGCAACAGCGTTAAGCAAGTCTTCATGGTAGAAGAAGATAAACTACTAATTGATTACATTTTGAAAGCTGCTGATCTTCAGTATGGACTGACTTTGAAAGATGTTCAAAAACTGGCATACCAATTTGAGAAAACAAATCAAAAAAAGTGTGATGCATCTTGGGATAGAAACCAGATGGCTGGAAAAGATTGGCTGAAAATCTTTTGATAAAAATATTCTAAAGAATTATCGCTTAGAAAGTTTAAGGCAACAAGTCTGGCACGCTCAACTGCTTTTAATAGGGAAAATGTAGCACTTACTTTTCAGAACTATGAAGTAGCTCATGGGCTTGAACAAAATCAAGGTTTTACAGCATTTAATATATATAATGTTGACGAAACTAGTGTTAGCACTGTCTAACAAAGTATCTGCTCAGTCAGAAGTAGACTTCAAAAGTTATGAAAGATTCAGATTTAAATAAAATCCAGCCTGGTGTTTTTATCTTGGCACAAATTCATGGCAAACGTGCTGTAAAAAACTTTGTAGCAGAGGTGCTAGAAGTTGCTGATACATTTTTCAAAATTCAGTATTTGAAAAAGGACACAAACTCACAAAGATTCGCTAGAGAAGATAAAACTGTGTATGAATTGAACCTCCTTTTACAGGAGGTTCAGCATGGCAGCTGGAAAAACTATCATGTAGAGTAGACAAATTCTAAATCAAAGTGAAAGACTAAAAATTTACTAAATTTTAATGTAGACTTTTGTTATTACTCTTTTCTTAATAAACTTTATTTCTTTTGTTTTTAATACTTCTAAATTTAAATTAGTTTAATTTTATAATCATATATAGCTATATAAATTAATATACAGTTTATATAAATCTACCTAGTTTGATAAATATTATCTTAAATGAGGCTGGTGTGAAGTCTAATTACCAGTGGTGTACCTTGGCTGTAATGTAAGCTATTTTTTTTAATTAAAAAAAAGGGATGATAAAATATGTCTAGATGTTTAATAAAAAAAACCTAGAGTAACTAATATCATTAAGTTAAAGAATATATATATATATATATATATATATATATATATATATATATATATATATATATATATATATATATATTCTGTTTATACTTTATCATTGAACAAAGAAAAAAAAACTAGAACTAAGTTTTCATTTCAGTTTTAAAAGATATTTATTAATAATTTTATGAACTATTATGTTAATCATTTATTACTACAATAAATTTCTAACTAAACTCTGATTAACTTAATTTTTATTTTGACCTTTTGTCAATACTGATCCTTATATAAGAATTTTAAGCTAAAATTTTATGAGGCTAATTCATTATTAATCTAATTACATAACTTTAAAAGCTGGCTTATTAAGAATGACAAAAGAAGACTAACCCCTGAAAATAATCCAAAAAAATTAAAGCTTGTATCTAAATCATTTATGCAAACAAATCTCAAAAAAAAATTAATAGAAATAATATCAAACAATCAATAAAAACAAAAAATACTTTGATATCTGCAAACAGTTAACTGAATTTGGAAGAAGAAGTTGGCCATTATTTTCCATGCCAAATGTAGAGATGCAATCTAATGCATAATATTGCCATGGTTGAAAAGAAATTCCAAAATTAGTAGATCGCTCAATTACTATGCCTTGTGGTGGTGGACTGTAAAATAGTATATTTACAAGATAAACCTGAAAATGAAAGTGAAAAAAAAAAAATTAAAAGCAAAATTTTCATATTTTATTCATACATTTATTCATTTTTTAACAAAAGCCTTCAGTTTCCAGTTGTTTTGTTTTGTCACACGAAATAATTTTTCTAACTGCTTCAAATACTCTAAATGATACTCTAAACATTGTTTTATACCTAGATCATGTGCATTTTGTAGAAAGAAAAAAAATTTAATAGCTCATATCGTATACAGGTTTTAGTTGTGAGGTTTCAGCACACATCTTCATTGTCTATCCGCTTACACATAATAAATAGTAAATAAATGCCCTATTTGAACTAAATCTTTTTAGATAAAAATTGAAAACTAGTAATACATCCTTTAAAAAAAAATTATGAGTAAAAAATATTTTTTAAATATTTTTTTATGTATATAAATAAAATACAGTCAAATATCAATTAAAAAAATCATATGACATTTCTAAAAAATTTCATTTTTAATGAACTATATATTTTCTATTGAGATTTTATTTGCTAACTAAAATTATCCGTTATTAAAAGACAACACTAAATTACTGTTTGAATTATTCACAACAGCTTGATTAGTTCAACTTTTAACTTTTTTTAAAAAATCTTCTTAAATTTCTAATTTTTAAGGTGAAATTGATGTGATATTTTATTCGATAAACTTTATTTGTTAAAAAAATATATTGAAAAATTAAAAATAGTAAATATTTTAAAATATTTAGTAAAAAATATATTGAAAGATTAAAATAGTTAAAATATTTTTAGAGTAAAAGTAACACAAATAATAAAAACAAATTTTGGAAATTAAAAAGTTTTTTAAAAATTTAAAAAATTTTCAAATAAAAAGAAAGTGAGCCAAACCCAACCTACGATGAAATTTTTCGAAAGCCCTACCTAGCTAACAAGCACATATGGATACTGTATAAAATTCTTTTAGTTTTCTGATGGGAACTTTCTGGAACCTAAAAAGGCAAAAAAAGGAGGGGGGGTGCTATTGGTTGATACATTTATTCTGGCAAAATATTAAAACCAAGTTAAACTTAAAAAGTTTTACCAATATTAGTTTTGTTTACATAAAATAATGTATAATGTAAAAACCTTAATTTTAAAGTTTGATTTATAGAGCCAATCAAGTAACTTAGTAACATAAATAATCAATAACTGAAATTGTTAGCAATGAGTAGAACCATAAAAGAGCTTCAGTTAACAAGGTTCAAAGCCTTAAAATTTTCTCATACTTTTGATCAAAGCATACCATTGAAATCTTTTCTCAATAAATAAAAAACTTGATTTCAGAATAAACATATCTTATTTAATCCATCTGTAACATTATATTTATAATTTTTTATACAATACTATATAAAATTAAGAAACCCATAACATAACACTTTATAAATATAACAATAATAATTATTAATCATTTAATAACATTAAACAAAAACAACTGTAGCAATCAGTTTAATGGAAAATTTATTTGACAGTATCATAACTTCGAAATATTGAAAAACAATTAATTAAAATGCAGTTACAACATAATAATAAAGAGCAATTTTTTAACCTGCATATTGGCATATTTCAGATCAATTGTCAATGTTACTTGAGGTACCATTTCAGATATCCAGTAAGAAACCAGACCATCTACTAAATACTCTGGAGGGTGTGAGTTTTCACTCAATCTTAAAACCATGTCATTAGAGTTAGCATCATTTTTCATACAATAAAAATAATTGCTGGGAGCTAGGCGTGGATGTGTTTCTGGACAATGGCAGTAAGTATAAGGTATTTCTGGAAGAAGTCCAGTCATTGCTTCAATAATTTCTCTAAAAAATAAAATTGAAAATTTTAAAACTTTTATTTTATTAAAAAACAAAATGTATATACTTTTTCTTGTTTTCTTTAACATCCTCTTTTTTATTTATCTAGACAATTTAATGGTTTTAACAAATTTTATTTATTTATTTTATTTATTTATTGTTAATATGGTTTATAAAGTTATATATATATATATATATATATATATATATATATATATATATATATATATATATATATATATATATATATATATATATATATATATATATATATATATATACATATATATATATATATATATATATATATATATATATATATATATATATATATATATATATATATATATATATATATATATATATATATATATATATATATATATATGTATATATATATTCTTGCATGGTTGATTTTAATTTTTACCATAAGATCTAAACTTTGTCTGTTTTTTTTAAACTAATTTAGAAGTTTGGAAACCAAAACTCACATTCAATTCAGCAGTACTCCTTGTATGTTTTACCTATTTGTTTTGATTTGTTGATCAAAATGCAGCACTCCTTGTATGTTCTACATTAGGGCAGGTCATTTTTCAATTTTTTACAATCCTTAGGCCATATGAATTTTAAATGTGTTAGCCCTTATGTAAACATAATGCAAAAAAAATATGAAAAATTTTAATTTTTAGGTTTTCAAATTTGAACCTCAAAAATTGAGGTTTTGGGTAAAAAATGTGGTATATGCAATTTACCTCAACTTTTGACCGGTTGTTCTGGTTAACTCAAAAACACCTTCAATCGAATCCTTGATCCCAGAAACCCATTAATAGACACCTAGGCAGTCATTTTAGCTTAAAAACTTATGATTTTTAAAGTTTGCAAAGACCTGTATTTTGCTAAACTTTACTGTAATATTGTGTGTAGTTACAAAAAAATATGTTATTTAAACTTGAACTTATTTAATAAGATATATTAAATAACTTAAGAAATCATTTATAAGATGGTGCATTTGAAATGCTGCATTTGAATTGACACATTAAGCTCACAATAAATATTGGTTATAAACTAGTATAAACTTTGAGTTCTTTATTGATGGCTAAACAAACGCGTAAAAATAGTCAAAGTTGCAAATTAAGTGTTATGATTGGTATTGCAAGTGAATTTTTAGATTCTGAGTTACCAACATTAAGAGATGTTATTAAATATGGTCTGCTTCTAAGAAGAGATAATAACTGTAAAGCAAATGCAAAACTTAAAGATACATGCAAAATGGTTTTTTTAAAAGTGAAAACACAATGGTTGAAAACAAATCCTGGATTTCCAATTGTTACAAACAAAGTTGGTATAAATAAAATAGTTAGATTATGGAAAAAAACTACAGATATTGTTAACTTCAGGTTCAACACTGACACCCTTTCTAAGTTTAACTCTAATCTGGACAAGCTATTTGATATACATAGTGCAAGTGTGACATTGTTTCTTGTGAAGAGGCAAGTTGTAGTTCATGTGTTTTTAAAGCTCATATCTCTTGTCAATGCAAAAGAGAAAACAAAATTCCCAGAATAGAACTTCAGTTTATGAAATTGCAAAGAGAAAAATTTGGGACAAAAAGTTGTATGCAAATGGGTGCTCAAGATTTAAAAGAAGCTAACAGACAAGAAAAAAATTATAAAAGGAAGAAAAACTGAAAAAAAGAAGTCACAAATAGAATGCCTATTTTTTTATTCTCAAGAAAAAAAAACTAAAGTGCCAATTGAAAATTTTGAGAGTACTGACAATGTAGATGTCCGAAGCAAAGAAAATTATGAAGAAAATTTTGAGTACATAAGCAGACAAGCTCCTAAAAAGTCATTGAATATAAAAGAAGTTGCATTAGCATCATTAAGATATGGTGTATCAAATAGAGCAACTGCTGCAATTTCAACACTAACACTGAAAGCAGCTAAAGAGGCAGGCTTTTTTTAAACGAATGTGACTGATAGTGAAACAGTGACATATCACAAGAAAATTGAATGCTCTAAATTGAAGGTGATGAAGCAATTAAAATCTGAAAATGATGATATGGTAAAAAGAAATGGAGTTCAATGTATAATGTTTGATGGGAGAAAGGATGAGACAAAATTTTCTTTGATTGGAGAAGATGGAAAATTTCACCACAGACTTGTACAAGAAGACCATTATTCAGTTTGTGCAGAGCCAGGTGGTTTATATTTGTCCCATTTTACAAATGACAAAGAAAAGAGAACTGAGTTTGTTACCCCAGCAGAACAAATAGCAGAACATATATATAAATGGATTATAGAACATGGTATAGAATCCTCTTTAGTTGCTGTTGGCTGTGATTCAACAAATCTAAATGCAGGTAGATGTTTGATAATGCAGGTAAATATTTGATGTTAAATGCCATGCATATATTTAAATAAATATTTTTTAGGCTGGAAAGAAGGTGTAATTCATTTTTTAGAAAACAAACTTCAAACCAAACCTATTTGGATAGTTTGTGCCCTGCACGCAAATGAATTACCTTTGAGGCACTTAATGTCAGTTATTGATGGAAAAATAATATCAAACAATACATTTTCTGGCAACATTAGTAAACTTGTCCCTATTACCAATGATCTCAAAATTGCCACTAATGTAATTCAATCTACAGATATTGAAATTGATTTACTAGATATCGATGAAGGTACTTTAAAAAATGTATCTAGTGATCAAAGATCTTAAATTATATGCGGTAGTGGTGTAGTGGTAAGAGCACTTGCTTTGTAAGAGAGAGGTTTGGAGTTCGACTCCCACCACGTCCCTGGAAGTACCGCGCTCAAAAGTTCTCACCTTAATTTCAAACCATAATATAGAGTATACACCAACACAGAACTGTCGAGATGTTTTAATTTCTCAGCATCGATTCCATTTAGTCCATGGTGTGAACACCGAATTCTGCAATGCCTACTTGCCAAGTTTAACTACCGTGCTTGATTGTGGGGACCAACTTAAATTTCTTTTAAATCTTCTGGAATTATTTTATCTTTAATAGCTTTTGTTATCTGGTATAGATATCTTTTTTTTTTTTTTTATTATCCACCTCCCCAAGGCCCGAGGGGGCCACTACAGTCAAGGAGGCTACTCATTTATTTTTTTTTTTAATTATTATTTTTTAGTTGTAAATCGTGGTACAACCCTCTCCAACTCTTTAACTCCGAAACACAAACCTTGACAAGCAAGACCCCTGCGCGGAGAAATTAAGTTGAGCGCTCAACTTAATTTCTCCGCGCAGGGGTCTTGCTTGTCAAGGTTTGTGTTTCGGAGTTAAAGAGTTGGAGAGGGTTGTACCACGATTTACAACTAAAAAATAATAATTAAAAAAAAAAATAAATGAGTAGCCTCCTTGACTGTAGTGGCCCCCTCGGGCCTTGGGGAGGTGGATAATAAAAAAAAAAAAAAAGATATCTATACCAGATAACAAAAGCTATTAAAGATAAAATAATTCCAGAAGATTTAAAAGAAATTTAAGTTGGTCCCCACAATCAAGCACGGTAGTTAAACTTGGCAAGTAGGCATTGCAGAATTCGGTGTTCACACCATGGACTAAATGGAATCGATGCTGAGAAATTAAAACATCTCGACAGTTCTGTGTTGGTGTATACTCTATATTATGGTTTGAAATTAAGGTGAGAACTTTTTTTTGTTTACTTTGATAATTTTTACTTGTGTGTATGGGTAATTTTATTAATAAAAAATGTTTAGGTAAAATGAAAATGGACTAATGGACCATACCATATTATCAAACAGCTGGAACTTGTCTGAAAAATGAACTTTAACTTTGTAGCAAAGATAAACAAGAGAGAACCTTTGCAGTGAAGACAACACTTTCAATAAGAAATTACATTTATATAATTTTTTATGCTTCTAATTGGTAGTATTTGGGGTGGCGGTTGAGGCATCTTTTTAAAAAAATTTTCTACATTACAGTCATAATATATATTGCTATGCAAGATATTACAGCAAAGTATACCAAAAATAACGATTTTTGTAAACTTTAAAAATCATAGATTTTTAATCTAAAATGACTGCTTAGGTGGATATTTGGGATCGAGGATTCAATTGAAGATGTTTTTGAGTTAATCGGAATAACCGGACGAAAGTTTCGGCAAACCGCATATACCGCATTTTTTACCCAAAACCTCGGTTTTTGAGTTCAAATTTGAAAACCTAAAAATTAAAACTTTTAATTTTTTTTTTCTTTTGCATTAGTTTTACATAAGGGCCAACACATTTAAAATTTATATGGCCTAAGCATTTATTGCAAAAAAATTGAAAAATGACCCGCCCTATTCTACATATTGGTCAGTCAATGTACAGTTCTCCTTGCATGTTCTACCTATTTGTCAGTCAACGCATGTCAACATTAAAAAAAAAAAAAAAACATTTAGAATGTCTTTATTTATTTTTTTTAAATAATAATACATTTCAGTTTATTAAGATGCGCTTTTGTGGTTTTTTAAAAACATAATAAAATTTGTAATAATTTCCTCAATTAAAACGGTTTTTACATAAAGTGTACTTAATTTTGTTATTTTTACTACAAAACTGTATAATATATATATATATATATATATATATATATATATATATATATATATATATATATATATATATATATATATATATATATATATATATATATATTAACATTATTAATAGCAACCCAATAGAGAAAATTGTAAAAATAGAGAAAACTGTTGACTTTTTTTTTCCATTTTGACTAGTATTACATTTTTTGTTTTTTCTCCATGAAATGATAAACAGTATTAATTTGTTCTACTAATTAAATTCTTAATGTTTTAAAATCCAAATAAATACTTAGTACTTATTTCCAGCTTTTCCTAGTCTTGGTTTTGACAATAATTTTTTGTTACGTCTCCTACTTGTGAAGTAATTCTAATACCCTTGGCAAAAAAGCAGTTGTGGCTCATTTACTTTTGAATCAATTATTTGCATGTTATTGTAGTAATCATTTTCTAAAGATTTCACTGAAAATTGTCTAATATAAATTAACAATTTGTCTAAAGAAAAAGGGATACTCTGTTTAAAATGCATCTTTTAAAAAAAATGATTTTAAATGTAAAACTAAACTCCAATTGATGAATTCTAGATACCAGATGATAACCACCTAGTGAGCTAGCTGAGATTTAAGGTAAGCAGTCCATGGATAAGTGTAGTATAAAGAACTTTAAACAACTGTTTATCTATATTACTAAAGGTGCACTTTATCATACCATGTGCTTTAGACGCAGAGCTAATTTCATGTTATTACCACTTAAGATTGGCTGAGAATTTAATACCTAGATCTTTTTCACGTATAGATTTCTCACGCATAAATCATCTTGAAAAGCTGGCATAGAGTTTTTAGTTGTATAGTATAGTTGTATAGTAGTAGTATAGAGATTTTAGTCGTTGTTATAAATATAGTATAGTTGTATACTGCCGCCCTAAGTAAAAACGCAGTAAACAACAAAAATGACATTCTGAGAAAAAGCCACTTTTAAATTTTGTGTGTATATATTTTTTTAACTTACGGCAAAATGAACTATGGGTTTGATGACTTCGGAATATACCACAATATTTTTATATAGAGCGTTATTACACAGAAAACGATGTTAAAACGTTTGGTGCAATAATCTCGATTTTTCAATTTTTGCGATTACTGCGTTTTTTCTTAGGACGGCAGTATAGTAGTAGTATAGAGATTTTAGTCGTTGTTATAAATTTAATTGATGATTTTAGTATCATCAGCAAATAACTTAGATGTATTATTTATTTATTTATTTTTTTTCATTAGTATTATTAATATAGATGACAAATAGAAATGGACCTAATAGAGAATTACATACAAATCATGTGGAATACCACTCAATTTGGATAATTACTACTCTTTGCTTCATATTTTCTAAGAATGATTTCATCCATGCAAGAAGACTATTTCTGATACCATAATTTCTTATTTTAAGCTAAAGTCTTTTGTGAGCAACAGTGTCAAATGATTTGGCAAAGTCAAGGTAAATGATATTAGTTTAGCTTTTGTTCGCTATGCAAGTTGATAGAAGGTTGATAGTCTCTAAATTTGTTATACATGATTTTCTAGGCAAGTAATCATGTTGTTGCATATTAATGAGATTATTCAGAATTAAGTGGTCCAAAATTTTTTTGTGCATTATTGATTCAAATAGTCTACAGATAATTGACGCCAGTGATATAGGTCTAAAGTATTCTGGAATAAGTTTATTACATTTTTTGAACATGAAAAAGACATTTTCTTCCTTCCATGGACACTATTTTTATACTAACACTTATGCTAAAAACTTTAATAGAGCAAGAACATCTTTTTAAAAATTAAAAAAATTAAGAAACTTTTTTACCATCAGGTTAGCAATTTAAAACAACATGTATTTCAATCAATAAGAAATAATTCTAATAAGTATTATATACTAACATTGTTTACAACAGAATACTCTAAAGACCCCAATTTGCAAATAAGTAAATTTTCCCAATTAAAACTTACCCAGGAATGTTGTGAGACAGCAGATGCATGCTTTTGCACACAATATAAATTTATTTTATATATCATAGTGTTTGATAATAGTATATCAAATTACAGCATAAAGTTTACTGCACATTGTAATATATAAAATAACTTTATAACTGTCAGTAACATAATCATAAATATCATTTGGCAACTCAAATATTTGACCTTCAATATAATACTTTCCAAAATTTTGACACTGAACAATGTGATTCTTTTATTTTATTCCTTCTCTAATTTAAAAATTTGTTAACTGCTTATTTAAATATAATATTCTTGAAAGAGTTAAAACAGTTATATATATGAAAAACAAAATAAGCAAAAAAAAATTAAAATTAAACCGATTTGTTAGTCCTTTCTGATAATATCGAATATCTTGAAGCAGACCAACATACTGGCCATTACCTAATTACAAATATTTACATTACTTTTTTTATAAAAAATAAGGATGCTAGGGGTTTTTTTAATCCTAATCCTAGTATATTATAAAAAATAGTATATGAAGTATATTATAAGTTTGCAGTGCATGTTTGAAAATTTTTTTAATAAAATTGAATATAAAATTACAAGAAAAATATGTGGTTAAAAAAATACCTAAGCTACTTTGCCCAACTATAAGAACACTAGTAGTATTCCGCATAGTTTGCAAAAGTGTTTCTGAACGAACAAAAATACTATCAATAAATAAATCTACTTCAATGCCGCAAACTCTGAAACCAAAGTGATACCATTTTTCTTGCTCAATGTCTATATTTTTAAAATGAATTGTCCCAGTAGAATTATTAGTATAGTATAAAAATGAAACTGAGTATTCTTGTAAGATAATTCTAAATGAGTTTTCTTTTTCAAATACAACCCTGGAATCCAAATAGAAAAAAATTACATAACATATAAATTACTGTATATTGTGAATACTTTTTTTATTTTTTTATAGTAATTTACACTGCTTCTTTATATATCTATATTCTTTTTATCTTACCCTATATTCCTCATGCTTTGTTTTACCCATGAGGTAAACGTAAAATTAGTAGTAGATAAAGAAATTTTGCTTGTAATGAAGCCACCATTCTGAAAGTTGTAAGAACTTTCGAATAAATTACTTGATGGTTGAAGATCAGAAGATATAAAAACACCACCAGATAAAATACCATCTTTACTTAAATCTTTGTAAGGCGGACTAAACATTCCACATTTGTCACAACACTCTAAAAGACATTTTTTAATAGTGCATGTTTTTACACTTTCTTCTTCAATAGAGGACATACAATAATTAGTTTCAGTTTTATTGACACCACAATTACTAGAAGAATTAATTGGTTTGAACATTGCTAGGTCTATAATTGTCGGAAACAATCCCACAGTTAGATTATGTGTAATCACCAATACCATATTTGAATTAAATATTGACAAAAATAGCCATAACATTAAATTAAAATTGACAGTACTAGCTGAGTGTACAAAGTAAGTATCTACTAATTTAAATGCCTGCTTTTTAAAAATCATATTTTAAATAAAATTATGGTAAGTACAGAGTGCATTGTCCATTTGACCTTTTTAACAACTATTAACAAAAATAACCGCCTTTTTGCTGAGATTACTCATTAACTTTAACAATTAAAAAAGCTGTTTAATAAGGCTGTTATAAACATTAGGTAAATGCTAAAACATGTATACAAGTATAAGAAGTAAATCTTTCGTGAGACTTTTTTTTTTTAAATGTCAGATACATTAAATACAGTTGATTATTAAATATTCATTTCATACTCAAACAACTCTCACTCGATACAAAAACTCCTAGCTCACTGGATGAGTATTGTCGGAAAAACTAATTTGCCGTTAAACGGTTACCGTTTAAACAAATTGCCAATTTCAAAAATTATTAACATTTAAAGTTAGAAATCCCTCAATGAGGGGGTTACAAAAATTATGTGGTAATAATTTTTGAAGGCTAAGAAATTATTCTATAAAATTTAAAATTTATCAATGAATACTAGTTTAGTTAAAAAGTTATAAAAAAGTTTAATCAACTTGTTGTTTCATATTTGGGGCAGGGGGGAGAGCGAAAATATTAGATCCCAAGCTCCAATCATCGCAATTTTTTCTTTAGCGTCTTTACTTGACATTAGAACAAACACTTAAACATTTGGATTTTAGCCTATGTCTAGAAGTTAGCTGTCTCAAACGCCAAAAAAAGCTGGATCACCGCCCAACCCCGATACAGCAATTTTAAATATGAATGTTTGGAGTTTACTTTATGTCTAAAAGTAGCCTAGTTACAGAGTTATGCCGAAATATATGTTTTTTTTATTTCGAAATATAAGTTTTCTTATGCTAAAATATAAGTTAATTTGTACCAAATTAAAAGTTAATTAAATTAAAGCTTTCATATAACAGAACATTAATATTGTGCGAAAAAATTCCAAGCAAACGATCTGATTTAGAGATTATTATTTAAAAAGTCGAAAAGTAAAGCCAAAATACATACACAAGGGTTTTGTATCAACATGTGTATATAGAGATAATGCTCTAAAACAAAGGAGAATTTCCGATTTTGTGAAATTTTAGTTTCACAACCGTATGTTTCGAGAATATGAAAGACAATGAGCTACATAGCTAGATCCGATCCGTTAAAAACCCTAATTGAAAGGTCGACCGTCAACTATTTTGGTATAAAATCAAACGATGCCTTAAAGCAGCAAACACATTATTGACGTAACTCATTTAAAATAAGGTCTCTAATTATTGTTTTTTTTATATCTAAAAAGAGATACTGTGTACCGCTGGTGGGAGTCGAACCCACAACCTTTGGATTAGAAGTCCAACGCGCTAGTCCATTGCGCCACAGCGGCTGATGCATTCTGTCAAAAAGAACTATTATATTCTGTAATTAAATTTAAATAAAGTTTAAGAATAATAATAAATTTTAAAAAAATATTGTATAACTAAGTTTTATTAATAATAACGATAAATACAACAACTTAATGGTTGATCTTTTACAACAAATTTAATAAATTATAATTATCTAACAGGGCCGACGACACAGGTTTTGAATTGGGGGGGCACAATCATCAATTTGTCAAAAAAGTCCTCTATATCAAGATTTTTCTTAAAAAAAAAAAAAAGGATCAGAAAAAAAGTGAGATATAATAATGTTTTCTCTATAGTTGCACAGCCATCTTTTTTTATAAATAGGTCTCTTAGAATCGACCTCTAAAATGCAACATACACGGCCGTGTAATATAGTAAGTCATGGTGCGCTTCTTATATACTAATGCTAGATTTTAAAGCATTATAAGGTCATTTTTTTTCTTAAGTATATATATTTGAATTTTACATTTTGACGCAATAAGGTTAATATTTCATTTTATTTGTTTTTTTTTTTAGGATATTGAGATTTAAGTTAAAAAAATCAACAAGCATTTAGAATAACTGAGTATAAATACTTTATCACAGTAACAGTCAAAACGCCCCCTCCCTTTAGTTTTGTTGTCCCAGACAAATGTTTTATTGCCCGTCTCTAGGGTGGGCCCTAATATCTATGTATAATCTTTGGCATTTTCTTTAACCAAAACACGATATTTTTCTAATTTTGTGTTATACCAATAAAAATATGTGCTTAAATATGCAACTTACTAAAACATGCTACCAATATCGGCCAATCATACACAAAAGCAACACTAACATTTAGCCATCTATAACACTTGTTAGCTTAACAAATAAGGCGTTAAATTTAAAAAGTGCGTTAAACAACTAAATTATGCTACTTGGGTACGTTTGTTACACAGTTCATTATAACTTTTACTTGCAAGATAACCTAATTTAACAAATATCCACTGCAGTGGTGACCACAACTATTTTGATGAGGGTCAAAGATAACTTTTTTGCTGTTAACTGGGAGCCAGATATTTTTAAAAATACTTTATTTAAACATATTGAATATTTTGATTCATTAAATGTGGTCTCTCAAATACCACGCACACATACACAGCAATAACTCAGCAATACATGTAACGTATTCTGTTGTGTTTCTATGATTCAGCTCATCCAAGGTTAGAAAGTTTCTAATTCTTAACTGCTGCTCTCACAAAGTTAATTTCAACATTTTTCCAATTAATTGATTTTATCCTTTGAGTTCTTTGTTGAGTATTTTATCAAGAAATGCCTTAAGTTTCCTACTTTGTAAAGCACTTGACCTAATGCTGCTTATTGTTTAAACCACTAAAAATATTTTCCACATACCTAACCTTTGCTGTTAAGTTTTACTGATGAATAATACAATGCACCTTATTTATTGACTTGTTTTCTGCCATTCTTTTTAATATGGAAACAACACCAATATTTTTTACAGTCATTGAACTCCCACCATCTGTTGTAATCTAAAATAATCTGTATAAATTTTCTAAATGGTCAACAAAATGTTTTTTATTCTGTTTATCTGCTATACCAATAGACGTCAAGTAACTTTTCAGTAACTAGAAAACCTTTATCAATACAACAAATAAAAATTGCCGATTGAGCATTTGGTGATAAATCGGTTGATTCATCTATAGCTATCAAATAGTACTGAAATGTTTTTATCTTTTTAGCTAATGACAAATTCAGATCATCATCAAATCCTTGTGTAACTGTTTTCAATTTTTCAGGGCAAATATTTTTGAACGCGATATTTTTTTAATTTTGTGTTATACCACGTAAATTCGTACCAATATAAATATGTGCCTAAATATGTAAGGCCAACTTACTAAAACATGCTACCAATATCGGCCAATCATACACCAACATTTAGCCAACCATAACACCTGTTGGCTTAACAAATAAGGGGTTAAATTTAAAAAGTGCGTTAAACAACTTTTGTTTAACTGAGATTCGTTAAAAATGTCCTAATTACTGAATAGTTAACAATTTTCAGCTAAAAGAAGCCTCATTTCATAACTTGCAACAGCAACATTTTCTGTTTCGGTTTTGCCGCTTAACAATTCTTGTTGTTCAACTAACTTATATTTCAATTTTTTGGTTTTTTCTTTTTATGCTTCGTTGACAAAATGATTATCAGTTTTTGAACCATATTTACATTATATTTAAAACTCAATTTTTTGCACACTGAAACAGATTCATTGCATATTAAACATACTGGCACCGAATAAAATTTACGACAAAAGTACTTTGTTATTTACTGTTAAATACACGACATTCCTGGTCGATTTTTCGTTGTTTTAAAGTAGATGCAATTTTGGCTAAATTCCCAATGTTTGGCTGTAACGAAATGTTTTATCAATAAATCAATCAATCAATCAATATATTTTCACTTTAATAATACTGTATATATATATACAATTGTGCGGGACATTTACAAACAGTTATAAACTGATGACGTCTAAAGACCTATAATGGTATAAATAATAACATAATAATAATAATAATAATAATAATAATAATAATAATAATAATAAATAACAATAATAAATATTATTAATAATAATAGAAATAAATATTAATAATAATAATATTAATAATAATATTAATGCAGTAATATAGGTCAGGTAATGCAGTAATATAGGTAATGCAGGTAATGCAGTAATAATACAGTAATATAGGTCAGGTCAGGTTTTCCTGCTACTGGTAACATGTAACCCAGTACAACCTGCTCCATGTCCTGCTGCCTTGTAGGATACGCTTTTTTAGGCAAAGGCTAGGAGAAGTTAACTCCGAATTAAAACACCCCCTGCCTTGGGGCTCTTGGTTGAGTAAAGGCTAGAGATGGTGTCTCGATAAAAATACTCATCTTGGGCAGATGTTACATGCATCCAACTGCTGTCTTGTAGAAGGCCTCCTAGGCAAAGACTTAAGGGGTAAACAGATTCTATCTGTTGACCAGCCTCGCACCCCTTCCTCATCTATTAGGCTGGCGCAGATGTATTTTTAATACATTGTTTCCAGTTTAGGATGTTGAACGCTGGATCTTCTTGACTCAATGCGTGGGTATTGCTTGTGTCTCTATTTTTATGACTGGGCAACTCATTCTATTATCTCCTAATGAGGGTACAGCTATAAAACTCAGTTTTATGGTTCTGAGGCCGGCTGGTAGTCAGGTTTCCCGAACTCTGTGGTAGCTCTCAGAGAGGCTGATTCCATCAACAGCCGAAAAATATCAGAGTACTAACAGTGCCATGTTGCGCATGGATGGTGTCCCTGTTTGTACTTTTGGTGTGCATTGCAGAGGCCACATTTGGAGCCCTTTGTTACGGCTTAGGGTTTATTAATAGTAATGAGGCTATTGCTTAGTTGTTAAATAGTGTACTGAGTACTATCTATACTTAAGTCAAGTTCTTTATAAATTTAAAATGACTAAAGTACCTAAAACTAAAAAACACAAAAAACCATCGTCATCACCAAGTTCTCTAAACCTATCATTTACTAATATTCGTGGTCTTCGAAGTAACTTTTCTTCTGTTGAGTCTTATCTCTTGCAAAGTTCACCAGACCTACTTGCTCTTTGTGAGACTAATTTGAGTTCGGCTGTCCCATCTTGTGATCTTAGTGTTGATGGTTATCTTCCTTTAATTCGTAAAGACTCCAATAATCACATGCTTGGCCTGGGCATCTACATTCGTAAGAACTCACCCATTTGTCGTGAAACTAGGTTTGAATCTACAGACTATTCATTTATGTGCTTTCGTTTAGCACAACTTCACTCTATCGCCTTTCTCTTTGTTCTATATCGCTCTCCTTTATCCCAAGATTGCACTATTCTTGATGTTATTTCTGATCAAATTGACCAAGCCC